TAATGTTCTAAGAAATTATAAAAAATTCCGTTTCATAATATAAAAAATACTAAACTTAAATTTATAGTATACTAATATGTATATATGAATTCTTTAAAAAAATAAATATTACCTTTATAGAAAAACATACACGGCTATAACAATGTTTCAAAGACTTAGCTCTCCTCCGTCATGTTTCAAAACGCCGCTATTAATCACGATTCTTTTTTTATAGTAAACGGAACCGAAAGAACCTTTTTAATCAATTGCTATTGCAATGTATTTTATTTTGATTGCCATAATTAAGGCCAAAAAATCCCTATTGTTTCAGGATTCATTTGACTCGAATTTCCTATATATTGCAACCTATATATCTAAAACCACACAAAACAAACTTATTGAATGCTAGGAAAAACGAAATCGAAGAAGTTCTAATTAAGAAAATTAAAAATTCAGGTTATTTTTCTATCTGCCTCTGATTGTTCTAATGTTGAACAGATATCTCTAGTTATAAGATACCATGACGGTGATAATGTTATTTGTGAAGACTTTCTACGGTTTATTGAATGTAAATCTGGTACAACTGGTCTTCGTCTTGCGCAAAACATAATTTCTGCAATTGATGATTTGGTCTTGATATCCAAAAATTTAGAGGTCAAGGATATGATGATGTTGGGGCAATGTCTAGTAAATAAAAAAGTATTAAATTTATCAATTCAAAGGCTATTTTTGTTCACAGTGCATGCCATAAACTTAATTTAGTTTTTAGTAAATCATGCAATGTTCAGAGTGTTAGAAATGTTCTTGATAAAATCAAAAATATATCATATTTTTTTAACTTATCACCTAAATGTGCCAGCTGTCTCAGTAAATTCATTTTTCCTGGTCAAGCAAAATTAATTGATACATGTCGAACTAGATGGGTTCAGAAACTTAAAGGTCTTTATGTTTTTTTTGATAACTACATACCCGTTTTTCATTCAATGGAAGAAATGGCATACAATCATGGTAAGAGTTATAATATTGATACTTGTTTAAAAGCTTCGTGTTTTTTAAATCTTATGACAAAATTTTCTTTTATTGTAAGTTTAGTTAATAAAACAAATAAGGGACTATTTCTATGCCATCACTGTTGTTCTCCAAGCTAAAGCGTTTGATATATCACAACAGTGTAATGAAATAAATTATTTAAAAACTCAAATTTTAGATTTAAAAATAATATTGATGTCTATCATCGCAAATGGTACTTAATTACTCTTGATCTAGCTAAGACTCTTGATGTTTCAGAAGTTAAACTAAGGCTTTGTGGCAGACAAAAGTATAGAGATAATTATCTCTCTGACACAGTTTCTGATTATTTAAAAACATTCCATCACAACTCCTCTTCTAGATCATTTAATTAATGCATTAAAAAATAGATTTAATGAAGGTGATATGGTTGTTTACAAAGATTTATCTGATATTCCTGCAACTGTTGTAAAAAAAATATTAAGAAAAATGTTTTTGGAAGTTCGATTTTATGGAGTTTTTGCATTTTTATATATCGGATATGCCTCATCCTACATCAATTCATGCTGAATTAGATTTGTAGGAAACATTTTGAAACAATCAATCTTTGACCCCATCCACTATTACAGAGACTTTAAAGTCTATTGATATGAGGAGTTTCCCAAATATTAGGGAAGGCTTTTAAATAATGGGAACAATTCCAATTACAACATGTGAATGCAAGAGGAACATTTCTGTTATACCCAGACTGAAAACTTATATGCGAAGCCGCATGCCAGGTCAAGATTTAATTCTTTAGCTCTGATGTCTATTCATCAAGAAACAATTCCTAATGGAGAAAGAGTTTTAAATATTTTTTTCTCTTTTAGGGAAACGACGTTTAGAGTTGATTTTTACCTAATATTAATTTTTAATTTTTTTTTGTATATTGACTATATTCGTGTATTTTATTTTATATTTAAGTTTATCTTACATTTAGTGAAAATTAGAAAACCAACATAAAAAATTAAAAAAAAACTATTAAAAAAATTTGACATAGCTGCCTATCAAGAAAAAGTAAGAATCAGAAATGGAGGACTAACCTTAGGCCACATGACAGTTTACAGATGGAGTGCAAAGTCCTATGGCTCACCTTCTTGTCATTAAATAGGTTAGACAAGTAAAAAATGTCTAATTTATGAACAGAATAGCCAAGACAATATTGTTATTAGTTTTTTTTTATATGGGTAATTGAGAGCAATGCCAAGTAAGTAATAATAAAGTTCTGATGCCGCTTTGATGACTAATTGCGAAAATATAGTTGGCGATATTTTTTTGCATCAAATTGAAAAATCAGACAATTTCCAAATTGGGCAACCCAAAACTTTAAAGCGCTTGGGCGTGACGTACTTTGTGGATTTTCAGCATTAGATTATTTAGTGTTACACTTTATAAAGAAAATCTCACTTTTTTGAAAATGGGCTAAACTTGATATATATTGCATCAACAAATTAACATTTTATTTACAAAGCATTAATGAAAAAGAACACATTGATGTGTATGCACAACACCTTTTTTCTAGAAACAATCAATTAGAAAGTTAAACAATTCTAAATTTAACAGAATTTTTTTTTTGGTAAAAGTCTTTTTACCAAACAGTTTTTTTCATGATTTACAAAGCCATGACTCTAATAAGGTGTTTGATGTATACCGCCGACTATATTTTGGCAGCTCGAAAAAACAGGAAACACCCACAGAAAATCCTGCAACCGCCCTTGTTGGCACTCAGTATAATTTATATACTGCCTGTTATCAATTTTTTTTTTGGATAAACGTGGGATTATCTACTGCTATGAAATGCTATACAAAAACAAATTTTAGAGTGAATAACTGTATATAACTATATATATATAACTATATATATACATGACTATATATAACTATATATATATATACACAGCGGGCATTTTTTTTTAAAAGTTACGTTCTAAATGTATTTTAAATGTCTTTTAAACGTCTTTTAAACATTCTTACGTATAGAACGTTTAAAAGACGTTTAAAAAACGTTTAAAAGACATTTAGAACGTAACTTTCAAAAAAAAAATGCCCGTAGGGTATACCGTAGAACGGGGTGACTTTGATACGCGGGGTGACTTTGATAATTTCGTCTGTTAGTTACAAAAATAATGATTTGAATGTGAAATTGCACAATTAGAGACTATTTTTTTTTTTATTCTTGTACATAATTATATTCTGCTAATATTTTTGAAATTTTAATGATTGTGAAGTGATTCTAAATTGTGTAAATGTGTTAGGAATAACATGACTATAACAAAAAAATAACGATTTTTACACGTACCAAAAAATGCCAAAAAATCTTGTGATTTTAATTTTTTTGAAATTTTTTTTTTCTAAAAATCTATACTTAGATGTTCAAGTGGTATTTTCCAGTTATAATACCACTGGAATATACCACTCGTTTTTGGTTACTCTCAACCACATTTGCAGAAAAATCAAAGCAATTTTGTTTTTCAGTTTTTCAAATGATTTTTAGTATTATATATTTCAATCCTATTGTAATTTTTTAATGTTTCAAACGATTATTTCTAGTTAAAAAAAACGTTAAAACAAAAAATATCACAAGGAGAATTGCAAGGATTATGAGAACTTATAAACGTAAACCAGGTAATCGATCCTATGCATCTTACACAGCAGAAGACTTGCAAAATGCCTTGGTAAATATCTCAACTAACAGAATATCGATTTTCAAGGCATCTAAGATATATGCTATACCATATAGTACTCTGTACAACAAGAGTAAGCTAAGACATATGAAAAACCCTGGAGGACAGACTAGATTACAGCCCCATACAGAAGAAAAGATTTTACAAATTATTAGCATTCTGACAGATTGGAAGTTACCTTTAGATAAGTTAAATATACGTCTGCTAGTAAAAAACTATTTAGACAGAATGGATTTTAGACAGAATTTTATAACTGCTGATTACAAAAACACTGTTATTGATATATTATTTTTCTGTGTTTAGCATATTAACATCAAATTTATTTTTGTTTTTTCTTTGTCCATTCTGTAGATATATTCGATAACCAAACTTGTTGTCTAAATTTATAATTTTACCAGTAAATCTTATAAGTTTATTAATATGTTGTGTTCTAATTTAGTAAAAGTCAAAAAGAAAGTATTAGCGACACTGTAAAGAGGGTTAAATCAATAAGCCATTAAGAAATAATAGACTATCAAAGTCACCCCAAACGACGGGGTGAGATTGATAACATTTTGGATTAAAAATATATATATTAAGACAAAAAAAATTAAAAATATTTAATGGAATTATATAACGGAAAGGTATAATGTTATAACGGGAAAAAAAAAATCAGAAAAAATTGTAATGAACCAGATTTATTTTGCAAAAATGCTCAAAATCCTAACAAAGTCACCCCGTTCTATATATATATATATATATATATATATATATATATATATATATATATATATATATATATATATATTATATATATATATATATATATATATATATATATATATATATATATATATATATATATATATATATATATATATATATATATATATATATATATATATATGTATGTATATATGCAGGGCCGCTAAGAGGGGGGGGGCAATTGAAGTAGTTTGCCCCGGGCATCACAGTCTATGGGGCATCACATGCCTTAAATAAAAATTATTGAAATGATAAAAAATTTAGCTGATAACGTATTTAAAGATTAAGCAATTTTTGTGTATTAATTTCTTTCTCCTTTTAAATTTTGTTTGCATTTAAAATAGGATAATTATTACTTTACAAAGTTTTCATTATCCATTTGAACGCACGCGTTTTCATTGGCCTTTTGTTCGCATGATAGAATAAAAAGCGTTAAAATTTTTTTTTCTTATTTAACGTTTGTAAAAGCCTGACTTCTGATAGTTTAACTTATTTTTGCTTAAACCTTGCGTCCCTGTGGATACTTTTGTGCATATATATATGTTTTTGACTCGCCTGCATTTTGTTCCGACTATATTTTGACAAGAAACTTATCTTCAGTGGATATTTTAATTGTAAGTACTGACTTTTTCTCTGCAATTAATAACACCAAAGTATTATAAAGTTTTTAATTTTTAAAATTTAGAAAGTTAAAATTCTTTATATCGTCATAAGTTTTAGCATGAATAATCAAAGACCTCCACGATTGAAACAGCTGTCTGGAGCTGCTGGGAGAAAAAGAGCGATGATTCGGAAAAAAAACGAAAGCAAAAACAAACGAACGCTTTTAGATTGCGTTCGTTGGACAAAAATCGAAGATAAATGCAAGCAGGTAGTTAAACTATTTTTTAATCTTGTGAAGTTCATGAAAAAATAATTAGAATAATTCTGTTTAATACTTCTTTATAGTTCAATGATATTGAGATCGGTATCAATGACTCTAATAAGTTGCCAGACCATAATTCCGACAAACTTTTTCTTGCCGATGACATCGATGACTCCCAAAAAACATCATCACATTTAAAAAAGGATCAGTTGGATTTTGTACTTGATTGTCACAATGACCAACAAATTTATAAAAGTGATCTTTCTATACCAATCTCTAACGATCCTGCACTATGGAAATCAATATCAGACACTGATCGAACGAATATAATTCTGATGGGACCTTCTTCAAATCCTAGCAATTTTCCAAGAGATCAAAAAGAACGCAAATTCCCTACTTATATCTTTTTAGAGGAACAAAGAAACGGAGAAAAAGTTAAAAGAGATAGGCTCGTTTGGAGTAAGGCTGTGGCATCACTCTTTTGTTTCCCTTGCTCCCTTTTTGGATCGCCTAACTTAACCAGACCCGGTGTTTAATCCAGTTTGTTGTCTTGGAATGGAGGTATACATGGAAATTGGAGAAAACTTTCAGATCGCGTTAAAAGTGATCAACAAAGCGATTTTCACCGTAACTGTTTTATCCAACCGAAAACAGCTACGATTCACTTGAAAAGTCAAAAGTCCATTGAGCATCAGTTAGAAAAACAAATTGGAGATGAAACAAAGCGATGGAAAGTAATTTTACAATGCATTCTTGACGTCACAATTTTTCTAGCTTCGAGAAACTTAGCTTTTGGGGGTAAGAATATTGTTTTTAAATTTTAAATTATATTTTGCATTATTCTATTTGTAATTTAAAAATCAAAATTACAAGTTTTAATTTGATATAAATATGGATTACTATTTTGATTATTTTTTGTTTCTAATTAGGATCCAATCAAAAGTTGTTCAAAAATGAGAATGGAAACTTCCTTGGAGCGCTCGAATTAATTGCTCGCCACTAATATGGCAGGTATTTACAATGGAGTTCAAGCTTTGATAAGACAGAGTAATCCACAAGCAATTTTCATTCCTTGCTCTGCACACAGTTTGAGCTTATGTGCAGTACACGCTATTGAATCATCGGCTCCTGCAAAATCCTATTTTGGAAATATTCAAAAGCTATACAATCTGTTCAGCAGCAGCCCAGTTCGTTGGAAAATTCTACAGGAGGAGACAAGCCAATCATTACATAAACTTTCTGTTACACGATGGAGTTCAAGGATTGAATCAGTTAAGCCACTAGCAAAAAAGCCAAGAGAGATCTTGAAATCATTACATCGTCTAAAAGAGTTAGACCTTCCAGGCGAAAGTAGTAATGAAGTGCATTATCTCATTAAATGGATGAATTCTTTTGAACTTGTTGTTTTCACTACTTTTTGGTTTAAATGTTTGATGGCAGTTAATAACGTGAGTCTTCTGCTTCAATCCACTCAACTCACTCTCGATGATGAAGTAAAGATTCTAAATGGCCTTTTGATGGATCTGGATCGAATCCGTCTGTCTTGGGACCTGATTTTGATAGAGGCAACAGAAGTTGCAAAGAACTTGAAATTTGATAAAATCATGTTTACTGTGAAGAGAACGCGAAAAAAGATCGTCTCAGATGAAACTGCTGGTTACAACCACGAAGAAGCATCAAAAAACTTTGAGTGTAATGTCTTCAATGTTGCACTCGACAATCTGACTAGTCAAATGAGATCAAGATTTAAAGTAATAGAAGAGGAATGTAGCAAGTTTTCCTTCCTTTGGTCTTTACAGAAATCTCAAACAGACCAAGAACTAGGTTTAAAAGCTGAGAATCTGGCTAAACTTTACCCAGAAGACTTATGTAAAAACGAATTTTCTGATGAAGTTCGGCATTTTTTTTCCGTAAGAAGAAATATTCTAGCCAGCAAAAAGCCTGTCGAACTTCTAAATGAAGTTTATGCAAAGGGGCTGCATTCAATATTTCCGCAAGTGTGTGTTTCTCTTAGAATCTTTCTAACATTGCCCGTTTCAACATCTGAAGGAGAAAGATCTTTCAGCAAGTTAGCTATCATCAAAGATTATCTTCGTTCCACAATGGGCCAGGAGTGGTTGTGCTACTTGATGATCCTTTCAATCGAATTAGATTTAGCCATTAACGTTAATTATGAAGAAGTTATTTGAAATTTTGCTGCTAAGAAGGCCCGGAAGATGTGTTTGTCAATTAAGAATTGATTTTATCATAGTTTGTTCTTGCAAGCCAAAATTAAATGTGATTTTAGGTTTTTTATGAAAGTAAACTATATTAATTTATTTGCTATTTTAAGACCTGAAGTATGATAGGGCATCCATTAAACTTTTGGACCCGGGCATCACAAAAGCTCTGGGCGGGCCTGTATATATATATATATATATATAATATATATATATATAATATATATATATATATATATATATATATATATATATATATATATATATATATATATATATATATATATATATATATATATATATATATATATATATGAATATATATATATATATATATATATTCATATATATATATATATATATATATATATATATATATATGTATATATATATATATATATATATATATATATATATATATATATATATATATATATATATATATATATATATATATATGAATATATATATATATATATATATATATATATATATATATATATATATATATATATATATATGAATATATATATATATATATATATATATATATATATATATATATATATATATATATATATATATATATATATATATATATATATATATATATATATATATATATATATATATATATATTCATATATATATATTTAATTTATTAAGAGTTAAATCCTAAATGAAATGTTCATAACTTTTTATTGAAATTTGTTTTTTTCTTTTCTTTATATAAAGACTTTAATTAATGATCAATAATTACTTTCTTAAAACTTTTTAAATGTGACAACGCCGGTTTTTCCATTTAGGTCTTTTGAGGTCTATATATATATATATATATATATATATATATATATATATATATATATATATATATATATATATATATATATATATATATATATATATATATATATATATATATATATATATATATATATATATATAGACCTCAAAAGACCTAAATGGAAAAACCGGCGTTGTCACATTTAAAAAGTTTTAAGAAAGTAATTATTGATCATTAATTAAAGTCTTTAAAAGTGATAAAATGCTATTGGTTGGAAATTGATAAATTAATAAAAAATGATTGATTCTAATTGCGCGAAAATATGTTGGTATGTTTTTATCTATCTTATACTGTTTTATGTTTACTTATCATTTCACATTTTGTCTCATTTTGAATATTATGTTTTATATAATTATTAGATAGTGTTTGTAAAACACTAACTAATTTTGATTGCTTTTAGATTTTGGATACTGCCTCTACCATTAACAAATTAAAAATAAAAGAAGCACTTCATATTAAATGGGAAAATCCTAAGTATAAATTTATCTAACTAACTTACTACATTATTATTGTTATTTTAATATTAGGAGGTTTATTTTGTCATAATTTGTAATAAAATTTTTAATTGATTTGTAGCAAGTTTATTTGTCCATTAATTTTTTCTCTGTATTGTCTTCAGTTTTTAAATTTATTTACCAGAATATATATATATATATATATATATATATATATATATAAATATATATATATATATATATATATATATATATATATATATATATATATATATATATATATATATATATATATATATATATATATATATATATATATATATATATATATATATATATATATATTAGTAGAAAGTCACTTAATAGAAAATTTTTTAAAAGTTTTCGATGTAACAGTGTAAAATGAAAAAAAATTTTTGTTAAGTAATTTTCTACTTATTTATAATTGCTCTGTTCTTTTAAGAACATTGAGCACTCTATTTTGTAGAATACATTTTTAAAATTGTTTAAATATATATATATATATATATATATATATATATATATATATATATATATATATATATATATATATATATATATATATATATATATATATATATATATATATATGTTCTTTATTTATTGTATGCATTCTTTTTTTTTTTTTTTTTTTTTAGCTCTAAAGACCCAAACCGAAAAGAATGCCTAAAGTGGTTTTCAAAAGATGAATTGACGAATTTCTTAATTCTTTTTGTTTCGTTGTGATAATTTGTCGTATGAGAACGCTAACGAGAAAAAACTTTTTAAATATAGAAACATGCGTAATATAAAGTTTACTTATGCCTATAAAAAAATATGTTTTACATTAATTAATAAATTAACTTTTTAGTTTCTTGTTAAAAATTGTATTCTGTATTGAAGTTTATTTCTGAGAATTTTAATTATACTTAAGATAATCTAATCCTACATTGTATTTTAATTTATAAAACTCGATATTTTAAAATAAATATATTACTTTTTTATCGCGCTTAACTTGTCTTATTTCGCTTAAAAAATTTTAAAATGTTTATAAACTTTTGAAACTTTTATAGCAAAAATAAAAAATCCTTTTTAAAAAAACTTCCAGCGAATCTATTTTTATACATAAACATGAAAATTCGCTAGAAAAGTTCACTGGAAGTTCGCTGGAAATTTCTAGCGAACTTCCAGTGATCTCTAAAGATCACTGGAAAAGTTCGCTGGAAGTTCGCTGGGTTTTGGAACAAGTTCGCTGGAAATTTCCAGTGAACTTTAGAGATCACTGGAAAAGATCACTGGAAGTTCGCTGGGTTTTGGAACATTTTATCACTGGAAGTTCGCTGGGTTTTTTTGTAAGGGTATCGTCAAAATATTAATATACTTATCTTTTTCGAAAAAGGTTTAAGTTATGTAAGTTTGTTGGTGTAAAAGATTTAAGCTATGTAAGTTTGTTCGTGTAAATTGTTCTTTAGTCTTTTTCGCACGAGATGAAGTTTTAATTGTTTTCAAACATTTTTAAGATCGTACCAAAACAAAAGAAAACCTATCCAGAATAGTTGATCAAAGTAAAATTAGAAAAAAACGTAAGAAAAAACAGTTACAACTTCAAGAATGTGCAATAAATAATCATTTTGAAGTTCAAGAACTTTTTTATTATGTAAAATAAGATGTAACGTATTAGAAAGATTTAAAGGTACAAAGTAGCATAAAAATATGGTACAGAGAATTATATTGTTCTAGTTTCACAAACTGCTTCAAAATGTTTTATGTAAACCATCAATTGAGACATAAAGCGTTGTGACCGGTATTATAATATTCTTCAAGGTTACAAACAAAGAAAATTCGTATTCGATTAAGGGCTGTTGGCAGTCATTCAGGTGTATTTCTTAGCCGCTGTGTACAGTGGTATATATATTATATATATATATATATATATATATATATATATATATATATATATATATATATATATATATATATATATATATATATATATATATATATATATATATATATATATAAATATATATATATATATATATATATATATATATATAAATATATATATATATATATATATATATATATATATATATAAAAATAATAATTATAGATAAACTACATAAAAATAATAATTATAGACATAAAAATAATAATTATAGATAAAATAATAAAAACTTAATTATATATATATATATATATATATATATATATATATATCTATATATATATATATATATATATATATATATATATATATATATATATATATATATATATATATATATATATATATATATATATATATATATATATATAATCAATTATTATAATAACTAAATAATTTTAATTTAAAAACCCAGCAAACTTTCACTGGAAGTTTTCTGGGTTTTTTTTTGTAAGGAACTTTACAATTTTTAAACTAATTTTTTTTTAAATTTTCAACTGTTTAAATCAACAAAACAAAAAATCATACAGCTCTACTTTTCTGAACTGATATAGATATTTAAATCTGTAAAAAACATAATAGTCATTATAAAGCAAAACTTAAACCTGTATATTAGAGAAAAAGAAAAATATTGCAGTAAGTATATCTTATAGGCAATATGATGCTTAAGCATGTTTTTTAGCCCATTTCAAAAAAGTCGAGAACCAAATGGCAGTAGTTACATTTTTTATTCCGAATAAGTGTACTTTGTTTACTTTCTCTGATAACTTATATCATCTAATTCAAATTGTATTTATTAGGATATTTTAGTATAATTTTAGATGAAAAAATTATGAAGTCAGTGGTCTGTTGGTTCTCTACTGACAAATTAGCATCACAAAACAAACAGAATTGCGAAAATTGACTTTAAAAGTATTTTCGTTTGGGTTTTTAAAGCTAAAAAAAAAAAAGATGGTTTATACAATATTTAAAGGACATCAATAACAATTTTATAAAAACATATAATAAATACTGTATAAAATTTATATATATATATATATATATATATATATATATATATATATATATATATATATATATATATATACATACATGAGAGAGCGAGAGAGAGATTTACAATTTTAGTTAAACATAAATAAAAACTGCATTAAAATATAATACCTGCTTTAAAAAAAGCTCTGTATATATATAACTGCTTTAAAATAACTCATTAATATAAAACATATTTTCTTTACCATGCAAATCAGAAAACTCATAAAAAAATCTATTAACTAATAATGTGGCTTCATTAATTACACTTTCAGATAATACCTTATTGTTCAACGTAAAAACAATATTAGATAAAAGAATAAAATGGTCAAAAAACTGAGGAGGCAAAACATCACATAAAATAACAGGACCATAAAAAACTAAAAAATTAAAAAACTCAATACCTTTCCAATGCTTTATACAACTTAATGACCATCGAGTCTGTCTTATATTGCTTGGCACACTGATTGCAGATAAAAGATTATTTACAACAGTACAGTGTCTTCTAATAGAAAAAATATAACCAGAATAATAACTATCAAATCAGAAAGAAAACATAGCTTTCATAACACCAAGCTCAATACAGTGCAGATTATTAACAACTGTTCCATTTTCACAATTAAAATTAGGTACTCTTACAAATGTAGAAAAATCTAAAAACCCTTTAATCACATTAATCCAAAAAAAATCTGTATGGTTTCTACAACTCCCATTAACATCAGAAAATGGATAAGTCATACAAGACATCCTACCTTTTTTTAACTCTTACCCCTTGAGAAGAACACCAATGGCAACCATTATAATCATTAAACTACCTACAACAAAAAACCATAGCTCCTGCAATTGTATCACACAAAAAAATAAATACATGAAAAAAAAACACGAACATTATTAGATAAGAGTATACCAGTAGTGGATAGGTTAGTAAAAAATCAACAAAACAAGATAAAAATAGTTGCACGTTTGGTTTTTTAAAACTGGACCAGAAACCAAAAAACAAAATATTAGTAATTTGCAATGAATATGGAAAATTATGAATGGATGCTAGCAAAGGCCACAAGGTTCACTTTAATAATTTAAAAACAGGAATTCCATCAGTATTAACAACAAGTCTAATTGTTGCTTGCGCATTTTCTTCAAGACTTGCTAAATGTATCCAATTGTTATCACACATGGCTTTATGCTGTTTGTTTATGTTTAAAATATGAAAATAACTGCATTTCTTATAAAGATAGGATAATGTAAAATATTTCAAACATTTTGTACATTGCTTATTAGTACTTAAAGCAACTTCACAAATATATATATATATATATGTATATATATATATATATATATATATATATATATATATATATATATATATATATATATATATATATATATATATATATATATATATATATATATATATATATTTATATATATATATATATATATTTATATATATATATATATATATATATATATAAATTAGTAAAAACACTTATCTAGTTTTTATTTTCTTCTACAGCTTGTTTCTCCATCAGTTGGATCATCAGAAAGATTCCTTCCTGATGATCCTACTGATGGAGAAACAAGCTGTAGAAGAAATCAAAATTAGATAAGTATTTTTACTAATTTATTATTGCTCTGTTCTTTAAGAACGTTGAGCACTCTATTTGTAGAATACACTAACATACTTTATATATATATATATATATATATATATATATATATATATATATAGATATATATATATATATATATATATATATATATATATATATATATATGTATTATATATATATATATATATATATATATATATATATATATATATATATATATATATATATATATATATATATATATATATATATATATATATATATATACATATATATATATATACTGAGAGAGAGAGGGATATATATTATATATTCCTCTCTTTCAGTGAGAGAGAAAAACAGATTGTTATTTATTATTTTTAATATAAAATACTTAATCATAAAGACATTTATAAAAATTATTTTTATAAAATAATAAAGTTGAATTTAATAAATAAAATGCATTCGCATAAAGCGAATGCATAATAAACAATACTTAAGAGAAATAAACATTTTGAGCAACATACCAGATGATTTTGTTTTGTAACTTGAGTAGAACTAATAATAATTGAAACTCACACTATAGATCATCTATTAGATGCAAAAAATAAAATAAAAAGGATTACTTTTATACAAAAATTTGAAATATTATTTTAAGAAGCTATATTATCAATTTTCCAAGTTTTAACTGCTTGCAGAAGTTGTAACAGCAACGCTTTTTACATCACCGCGAAATATTTCGCAAGAAACCCAATAAACTTCCAGCGAACTTTAAGATCACTGGAAGTTTTTCGTTGGATTTCCAGCGAACTTCCAGCGAAGTCTTTTGTTTCCATGGAAATCCAGCGAAAACCCAGTGATCTTAGTAAATTTCCAGTGATCTTTTAATTTCCACCGAACTTTCGCTGGAAGTTCGCTGGGTTTTTTTGTAAGGGATAACTTGGGATCAAATGTTTTAGTTTCAACAAATTTGAATGACCCGGTTTTCATGACTCTTTTTAAAAAAGTTTCTTTAAAACAATACACATAAACTGCATAACACTTATGCTCATGTGACTGTTTCTTTCTAACTACAGTGAACAATAAAATGATCATTTAGAAAGGTTTCATATGATTTCTATTACTTACTGTCGAAAAACTTCAAAAATAAATGTGCTTTTTCAATTTAAGATTAATTTAACACACACACACACACACACACACTCACACACACATATTTTTAAAAATGAAAAAAGACTTATTAATGGAAATTTAAATTATTATAATATATATTATATTATATTAAGGATAAATATTCTAATATATATAAAAACGTTACGTTAATTTTTACATATGCCGTTAACGGTAATAATCAGCCATGTCAGACATATATTAAAATTAAAAATTAAACGTTAAAGTTGTAATTCGAATTACAGTATTGTAAGTTCTAATGACTCCATGGAACCTTAGTTTGTGACGTAAACAATAAAGGAATAATCTTCGGTATCGAATGAGGATAGTAGAAGTTTTTTTGTGTCTACACCTGGACATTATTTTGCTTTATGTGTTTAGTAGATTTTCACGTTTCTGTATAAAAGTTTTAAACTTCTTATTCAAACAGAGATTGTTTTTTAAATTCTGTATCATTCATACACCTAATTGCATTAAAAATTTTTGAATGGTTTGCATACCAAAGTTTAAAAGATGTTTTACTGACTCCAAATTATATTTCTTTGTATTGTTAGTTGTTTGATTTTATGACGTCATGACAAACAATGTTATTAGATAAAGCAATGGTTGTTCATTGAACATTTAGGTTTGTCAATGCAGTTGCACGTTTTTTCTTCAACGCCTTTTTATTTAAAGTGTTATTATTGTGATAGTTGAAAATGGGTTTCATGTTCGGCATGCACGAATAACTTATTTTAATTATTTTTCTATCAAATATGTTATAAAGTCTGTGGTTTACTAAAAAGTTGATGAGATTGAACAAATTTTTTCTAATTTTTTATAACATTAACACTGAAAAGAGGATTGAAAATTATCTTGAGTTTATTATGTGTTGGTTTTATACTTGAATCTTTAGTTTACTACTGTACACAGATTTTTTCAAAATTTCTTGATAAGGAGGAAGACTTTTTTCAAAAACTGCTTCGCCTAGAAATGCGTCTGACAATTTTAATTTAATAGTTTTAAGAATAATTTTTAGTATACTAGGTTTATGATTTGAATCAGTGTTTAAGCAATTAAGTATATTTCCCGATTTGCTTTAAGGATGAATAAAACAATTGTCGAGAGTTAGCGATTAGATTTAGTTAAATACTTTCAGATTACAGTTGGTTGAGAATCTTTTCCAGCAAAAAAATTCCTAATCTCTAATTGCATGAAAAACCTAAACCAAAAGGTTTTGTTAACAAATTAAGAAACACTCAGCATGTTTATTAAATTTAATTTAAAAAAAGTACAAGGTTTGTACTTTTTTTAAGGAAGTTAATAATTAAATGAAACTGTTCCATATTTCTACCATGTTATAAATTGTAAAGAAGTTTAGTAAACCTGCTACCCACAATCTGCAATAGAAATTATAAACATACGGTAACGAAGTACAAGTAAAAATAACATTTTTTCAAACAATGATATATGCAAAAGTGTCTTGGGCTTTAACGGATAAACCTTCTGGATTCACATGTGCAAAACATGAGCTAACTCCTGAAAAACAAGCTTTTAGACTAAAGTCGCTGATCGGCCTAAAAATTGAAATTCGTTTTTAAACCTCCACCCCCTCCGCCCCCTGTTTCTACGCCAGTGTATATATATATATATATATATATATATATATATATATATATATATATATATATATATATATATATATATATATATATATATATATATATATATATATATATATATATATATATATATATATATATATATATATATACATACTATATATATATATATATATATATATATATATATATATATATATATATATATATATATACATATATATATATACATATATATATATATAATAAATTTAACAGCGGTTTGGATATTAGTACGTTTAAATAATATTTCGAGTGCCCGCTTATAATATGTTGATTATCTATTATTTAAAATACTTGATGATTTCCTCAAGTTTTTTAAATAATATTTTTTTAAATAATATTTTGAAATAAAATATGTATAATAACGGACTTACCATGATCCATATACAGGCCCACTTAGTGCCCCAAGTTTGGATTCCTGGGTATATTGAATTAAGCATGAATTTAACTGTTTATCGTACATATGTCTATTATCACATTACAATTTAATGAAAACAATAATTATTTTTGTATTAACTATGGCTGCACATAAACACTCTAAATTTAAACTTGGTTATATATGATAAAACGATAATATAAATACAATTTATAATGAATGAAATTATATATTTCATCAATAAAGACTAGTCAGATCACACTAATTTCAATTTGCAAGCTTTTTTTGGACAAATAGAAAGAGATTCTATTTGTCCAAAAGTATTTGATTGCTTCAGAACATCTAGATGACGGATTTCTTTAATCAACTCTTCCTCATTTACATCAATTAAGTTGAGATTTTCCAGGACTTTGTATTTTTCTTTTTGACTAAGTTTATCTTGATCATCATTAGAAGGAGATGAAGAACACCATATGGATGAAAACAAATCCGTCGTCTTTTGAGCTGTTTTCATTCTTTATTATATACATGCCAGCTAGATTGAGACTATGCACACTGTAAGGCATGAACAAAGCTTGAGGATTTTTCTCCAGAATGATCGGCACTCTTTTGTATACACCGGGTATATTAGCCCCGTTACCATAGGCCTGGCCCCTACAGATCTTTAAATCAATTCAGCTTTGATCCAAAACGTCTATAATCAGCATTGATTATAGACGTTTATTATAGATTTTCTACCATCAGAAAACGCTCTTTTACTACCCATTGGTTGTCAGATCCTAGGCGGACAAATCGAAGAACGAAAGTAATTTGTTTTGTATGAGACACGTCCGGAGTTCCATCAACCATTATAGAAAAATAAATGGCTATGTGGACCTCTTCGATAATATTAGCGAAAACAGTTTCATGACATACAATAGTAAACTCATTTTGAGTTTTCCAGCTCAAATAGTGCGCTTGCATTCTTGTTTCTTGTTTTTGGTGTCGAGAAACCTCTTCTAAATGGAACTGAAGTGTCTTATTGTGTTTCCCCAACAGCTCAGGGATGATTAAAAAACTACCATTATCATACTCGTCCAACATGTTTGATGAATCTACAAAAATATAAACATAATGTTAAAATAAAGATTACATCTAGATTAATATTTCAAGCAACATTAAAAGTACTTTATGAACATAAACTGCTAACACACCTCAAAAACTTAGATTTCTCAAAGCTAATTAGAGAGTGGCGTCCTGAACTCAGCATAAAATTTCATACCACTTAGATGCCTCATTTTTTATTGAATTTTGTAGTTCTGAATCAATCCTGGTCTGATTTTTCAAGGTTTTAAAGGCTGATTTCCAAACGATGTAGTGATTTCTGTGTTGAACATTAACACTGGCGGCTTTTAATCTTTTCTCCTAGCTTCCGCCAATTATCTTTTATTCCGCCACATCAAGATGAAAGACTGAAATTCTGGGCCAAAATTATGCTTTTGTCCAAAGATAGAGCAGGTAAAACAAACGAAAGCTTTTGCAGTTTCTCTCCAGATAAGCCAGTCTCTGTTAATCTTCTCTCCGTTGAGAGAAGTTTTGTAAAAAACGGAGACCAAATTTTTTGTTTGTAGAATCCCTGGGAAAAAGTGTCGGATTTTGAGGTGGTCCATTTAGTATGACTAGATTATGTTCGATTTAGATAAAACCCTCTTCCACAAAGCGGGTTCGTTTATAACTGCTTTATTATTCAGTTGAATCTTCTGTTGATCCTAAATTAAAAAAAACATTTGAAAATTATGGCATGTTTTTAATATTTGCAGATATTAAATGATATGTTTTTAGAATCTGCAGATATTAAATTATATGTTTTTAATACCTGCAAATTTTTCATAAAATAAGAATGCGTCTCAAACTCACTTGATTATCATCTTTTTCTTTAAAAACCGTTGAAAAATTTGAAGGAGAAGATGGCTTTCTTGGACTCACGGGATCAAACGGACTCACATCAACGCTGTTGGCAGCATGGTCCGTTTAAAAAAAAAATTGTTTTTACAATTTTGGAATGAAACTATGAATATAAGATTGTGAATAAAAAAAATAAAGCTGTTAACCTATACCTTGAAGACTTGGTCGCACGTAGAGTTAATAGATGCCTTTTTTTTTGAAGATTATTAAAGCCACACTCTTGCAGAACACGTTTGTTTTTGTATTCTTTTACAACTTTTTCTACAGCTTTTTTTTTGCCTTGGGAATCATCCATTCGAAAACTGGACATGACGTTTTTTTTATCTAAGATGTTCGTAATCGAAATGATTTTTATATAGAATTTAATTCTCAAAGGAATTAAAGAGAATAAGAATTAAATGCAATTTCACATTATCAAATTAATTGGAATAAATGTATTGAGAAAGAATATTTGAAAAGTGTTGGAATGAGAGTAACTTAACTGATTTATGTAACAAAACATTGATAATGTTTTGAAACAAACCTTTTGTTCGAATTAGTGTTATGTAATTCGAATTTTAACTACATTTAAATTGGATTCATTGCAATTAGTCTTTCTATTCCACGCACAAACATTTCAATTTTGTCTTAAATTTTTTGCTTAAAATTATGCAAATAATCTTCCTTTTTTTTTGCTTTTTTGATAATTTGCCTGTTTGAAGGTTTGTTGTTTGATAAATTTACAATAAATACACACTACATATATAAATTTAGACCAGAGTAAGAAGAAGACATAAACTTTCTGATCACTGAGCCC